ATGTGCATATCCGGCATACCAAGATCACCTCTGGTAGGACACTTCCTCCGTATGTACATATAACTTACACTCTGGAGTTTGCGCAATATATGCCAATAGGTAGGGAGGATGCTCATCTTAACTGAATTTATTCGTCTTAACATGGAGATTTTCATTTGATTTAATTTCTTTATTTTAGATGTGCAGTGGTACAAGCATAGGTAGATAATGACATGACAAACGTGAACAATGAAGGGAAAAACATGAAACTGCATGTCACGATAATATATATAACAAGAGGTAAGACAAGATATAGGAAGTCAGGCTGGGTATGCACGAGTAGTCAACAATAAGTACAAAAGCTTGGTATGTATGAATGATCAACTATGCATGGGTCATACAGCTTAACTTAAGAGTCAACCAATGCCCCGCTGGTGCAAGACAGAGTCCTGCAACTCAAGACCCGGTATCAGACACACAGGCCCACTAGAGAGAAAGCAGAGGAGTGTAGGGTGGTGTTCAGATAGGCTGATTGGGATGCACCTGATTCTCACTAGTGACAGGCCGCATGGAGGATGGCGACTCACAGCATACACTGCTGCTTGAGGCGGACCTGGATAAGGCCGCAGCTTGTGGATGCCTGAAAGTGGGGTGACGACTTTGGTCTTGCGATGGCCCTGGCGTCTCTGCCTGTTTCGGGTTTGCTGCCGGCCTGGAGCCGCCATCCCTTGTCGGGAACACATTGGGATACTCTAGGGTGGTTGGGCCAATTGCCCCTGTAATGCAAGGTGTTGCTGGTGCTCACTGATCCTCCGCCAGAAATCTGCAAAGAGCCAGTCAAGCTTGGAGATTGTAGCAGCTCCGGGCTGACACATGACGTCCGCCATGTTGTGAGATGCTGCATTCAGTTGGTCGTTGCCGGGGCTAGGGGACTGATGTGGGAAGCCACCCAGGAGTGGACCAGGATCACCCCAGCCAGTCCAAGGGAGTTGGGGGAAGGAGGTAAAGGGGCTATTGCACAAGATTAGCTGATCCCAAGAAGCTCCGGACAAAGAGATCGGCCGCCTTTCCAGTCTGGAGCGCACAAGGCCGCATTAGCTGCAGTGGAGGAAAATCGGTTCCCAGCAAGTTCTGGCTGCAGCTCCTGGTGACAGGTACATTTGGATGCGAGAACATTGCAGGGTTTGTCCACAGGTAGGACAGCAGAGCATGTAGAATGCTTTGTATAGCAGATTAGTGGAGAAGCTCTCTTAAGATGCATTCGTTCACCATGATGTCAGGCCCTGCCCACAACCTGAAGAGTTGTTCCCATTTCTGTAAACTAGACGTAATGCGGGATATTAGTGTTGTGTGATTTTCTGCTATCATGGATGCCATGGATGTTGTAAGTTTAGGTTTAAGTATGTGAGAGGCACTTTTTTCGTTGGGATTCCAACTATTGAGGCAGCAGATTTAGTTTTGTGGACTAGCAGTTCCAGTGCCAATACACTTATAAATGGGTGATCGGGTTCATTCCTGATGCTTACCATTCATTATGCAGAATGAGTCAGAAAAGAAGTCTGATGTCAGGACTCTGAGTGGGTCGAGTAAAAGCTCAATACTGCTCTTAGGTAACACTGGAGGGAAACCAATTTTTTCCCAAGTGAAGAACATATATTTTCAGTTAGGCCAACCAAAGACCTTCTCTGCATCAAGTGTTAAAGCAGGGGAAAAGCGATGAGGAACGAAAACCAATGGGTAAAATTAAAGAAGTATATTTACAGCGATTACAAAGGTAAACTATATTCACCTACAGATTCCTATGGGTGGGAAATCATTTAAATGAAGTTGTTATGGGGCCTAAACTGTCCCTTTAAGAGTGGTGGGATTACGTTCTGGTGATGAGTCTTCCAAGCCTTTAAGCTCGAAGTTGCCTCCAGTGTCGACCTCAGCTCCCACCAGCGCTGCTTCCAGATTTCTAAAATGTCAGTTTCAGGAAGCAGAGCTGCCACCAAGCAGAGGCACACTGATTTGCTGAGAGCATTAGCTGACTGCTCTCAGCCAATCAGTGGCACCCATGCCCGGCAGCAGTCCCCGCTTCCTGCAAATGGAAATTTTAAAAGACTGAAGACACCTGGTGGGAGCCAAGATCAGCGCTCTAGACAACTTTGGTGTTAAACCATTCAAGAATGGTGTGTGTCTGTCAAGGTGTGTTTGTGTCTGTCTGTGTCATTGTATGTGTGTCTGTCATGGTATACGTGTGTGTGTTTTAAAAATAGTGTTTTTACTCACCTTTTTTTTTTCCCCCCATGCCGTGCTGGTCTCCCCTCGACTGGCCCTGCCTCTATGGCTGAGATCATCAAGCTTGATGATCTCAGCCAATCCAATGCTTTGCCATATAATTGGCTGCAAAACGTTACACCAATCAGCATCTCCATCAATGTATCTCTATGGGGAACATTCAGCGCCTCCAGAGCGTGGAGGCCCTGAATGTAGGTGCTGCACACTATGCAGCACTGACCCAGGAAGCACCTCTAGTGACTGTCTAAGTGTCTGTCACTAGAGGTGTCACTAGGAAGCAATGTAAACACTTCCTTTTCTCTGAAAAGTCAGTGTTTACATTGAAAAGCCTGCAGGCATAGGATATAGACAGCAGAACCACTACATTAAACTGTGTGTGTTTGCGCCTGCTAGTGAGTGAGCTTGCTTGTGTGTGTGTGCGCGCGTCTGCTAGTGAGTGAACTTGTGTTTTTATGTCAATGAGCTTATGTATATCAGTGAGATTGTTTGTCTATGAGGCTGTGTATCAATGAGCTTGTGTGTCAGTGAGATTGTCTGTGTCTGCATGTGAGTATGCTTACTGTATGATTAAACGTTTTTCTCTGAAAGGACCAATATTTTATATTAGAAAAAGCAATATATATTTGATATATATATTACTCAATCATCTGGGGTGGCAAGACTTAGCCTTACATGTTAAACGTGACAATATATGGCGCAATGACTTATGGGGCTGGCATAGATTTTTTCCAGGGCTGCTTTGTATCCCCAGTCTGGCACTGCTCGCTGGCCGGGTACGTTTTAGCAGAGTAGGCACCTGCAATGTGGGGAAAGTAGATGCATACTCTGCTATAACACAGAGCATGTACTCGCGGCTCGCCAGGCCGCAAAAGTGCCGCGAGTTTGACATGCTTGACATACAGATACCTATTTCGTCTAAGAGAAATACATTTACAGAATAATAAAGTCAGATGTCCTGCTGTAGCTGTTACTCCTAGGGTCACCGTTCCTGATACCTCTTCTGCATCTAAGTCTCAGCCCATGCAGTTAGGGACAACCAAACTATCCAAGGCAGAGAAACAATATAGGAGAAAGGAGGGGATCTGCCTATATTTTGGGAAGAAGGGGCATCTGCGAAATGATTGTCCGGTGCCTCATGAAAACACTCGCAAGGTCATTCAGGGGACCAGCCTTGGTTGTGACATTTAAGTACCCTTTTTTGCCTCAGTATCATTTGCTCCTCCCTATCACCTTGTCTTGGGAGAGAAAAGACATTGTCATACAAGCTTTAATAGAATCAGGAGCAGCCGACAACTTTATAAACAAAGATTTTGTTAAGGCACATACACTCCCATTAAGAGTGAAGGAGACACCCTTGACCATTGAGGCCATAGATGGTAGACCGTTATATTCTTCCATTATCACACATGAGACCAAGCATTTAAATAAGCATTCTGGTTTACTGCACACAGAGAAGTTATGTTTCCAGGTCACATTCTCTCCTTTTTCTCCTATTGTATTGGGCTATCCATTAATTGTGTCTACATAACCCCAATATAGATTGGAAAGCGATAAAAGTCCTCTTATGGAGTACTCTATGTAAAAAAATCATCACACACACACACACACACACAGGCAGACAGTCATGCAGACACACAGACAGTCATACACACACAAGCAGGCAGTCACCTACATGCAGATAGTCTCACTCACAGGCAGACACACAAGCAGGCAGACAGTCAAACACACACACACAGTCACGCAGGCAGGCAGACAGTCATACACACACACAGACAGTCTCACACACAGGCAGACGGTCATACACACACACAGGCAGGCAGTCACACACACAGGCAGATAGTCATACACACAGTCAGGCACACAGGCAGACAGTCAGGCACACAGGCAGACGGTCATACACACACACACACACACACACACACACACACAGACAGTCTCACACACAGGCAGGCGGTCATACACACACACACACACACAGGCAGACGGTGCCATACACACAGGCAGGCAATCAAACACACAGACAGTCACACACACACACAGGCAGACAGTCACACACAGTCAGACAGTCACACACACACAAGCAGACAGTCACACACACAGGCAGACAGTCACACACAAACAGGCAGACAGTCATACACACACACGCAGGCAGACAGTCACACAATCACACATAGTTACCTCTGTTCCTTATGGAGGTGGAAGTAGTGCAGCTCCTGGAGACTGGTTGTTGGGGGAAGCAGGGACTCCTTGCTTCCCCTGCAGCAGTTACCCGGCACTTTTAGCTCAGCCCCAGCCGCATGGTAAGCTCCGCCCCTGTTTCATCCATGTCTCTCTCCCTTTTTATCATTGTGTCTTCCCCCCCTTGTGTCCATGTCTCTATCCCCACTTCCATCCATGTCTCTATCCCCCCATTCCATCCACCTCTCTTTCCCCTTTCATCCGCTCCTGTCTTCCCCCTTTTATCCATGTCTCTCCCCCCTTTTTATCCATGTTTCTTCCCCCTTTCATCCATGTGTCTCTCCCTCTCTTTCATCCATGTCTCTCTCCCTCTCCATCCATGTCTCTTTCTCCACCTTTCCATCCATGTCTCTCTCCCTCTTTCCATCTATGGCTCTGTCTCCCCTTTCTATACATGTCTATGTCCCCCCTTCATCCATGTCTTTCTCCCCCCTTCCATTCCATCTAGGCAAAGGTAGCTCCGGCTCTGCACACATACAGATTGATGGCTCCACTCCAGGGCTGGACTAGGAAAAAAATTTGTCCTGGGCGTTTTTTAATCACAGCAGCCCACTAAGAAGGGGGCCGACATTGTTGTGGTATTGTGTTTTGTCATTCTCAGTGACTAGCACCCCCTCTCAAAGTGAGCATGTTGGTTTAATGCTCTTCCAGGGCAGACCATGCGCAGAGCTCTGCTGAAGAGCTCTAGCATGAGAAAAAGGCCCTGTATTTGTTTTGCACAGTGCAATCAAATTTAATTACATGCTGCGTTTCCTTGCAACATGTCTCTGGTGTCTCTATAAATGCGATACCAGGAGACAAAAGTGCCAGGAAATAGTATTGTGCATGTGTTTGGAGCCTGCTTGTGGGATTGCTTGTGTGTAGAGTGAGCCGATTGTGGTGTGGTATTGTGTAATAAGGTCGGTTTTAGTTGTGTTGTGTTTGTGGTGTAATGTAATGCATGTGTGGGTAGGGGCTGTAGAGTGTGTGTGTATAGGGGATGCAGTATGTGTGTGAGGGGTGCTATAGTATATATATTTTTAGAATTATTGTGTGTGTAATTAGTGCAGTGTGTTGAGAGGGTTCTGTGTGTATGTATGAGGGGTGCAGTGTGTGTCAGTTAAGGGTGCAGTGGGTGTGTGGAGGGTGTAGTGTGTGTGAGAGGGGTAAAGTGTGTGTGATGGATGCAGTGGGTGTGAGGGGTGAAATGTGTGTGTGTGTGTGTGTGTGTGTGTGGTTGCTGTGACTGTGAGGGGTAATGTGTATGTGTGTGTTAGGGTGCTGTGTACGTGTGTGTGTGAGGGAGCTGTGTGTGTGTGAGGGTAATGTGTATGATTGTGGTGTGTGTGTGAGGGTGCTGTGTTTGAGGGTGATGTGTGTGTATGTGAGGGTAATGTGTAGGCAATGTGTTAGTGGTGGGTGTGAGCAGGCCCGGCCCTGCAGTAGTCCACGGCGGGCCGGTGGGGAGATCAAAGATCTCCCTCACCAGCACACATAGAGTATATTCCGGCCGCCGGCGGGGAGAGAGTGCCATGGCAATGCTCCGGGTCTCGCGAGAGTGAACTCTAGCTTTACAGGCTAGAGTTCACTCACCACTAAGACCACCAGGGATGGATGGCGGCAGGAGTAGCAGGATCCCCCCTCCCAGGCATAAGGTAAGCAGGGAGGGGGGAAATAATCACCCAAGTCACATCAGCCTCACAGACACCCCTAACACTCACAGCACCCACACTGCACCCCTGACACAGCACCCTCACTCACACACACTGCACCCCTGACACTCACAGCACCCTCACTCACACACACTGCACCCCTGACACTCACAGCACCCTCACTCACACAAACACACACACTGCATCCCTGTCACTCACAGCACCCTCACTCACACACTCGCTACACTGCACCCCTAACACTCACAGCACACACACACTGCACCCCTGACACTCACAGCACCCTCACTCACACACACTGCACCCCTAACACTCACAGCACCCTCACTCACACACACACTGCACCCCTGACACTCACAGCACACACACTTACAGCACCCTCACACACACACACACACACTGCACC